CATGGATCGTCGGCATAATACAGGAAACCGCACCCCCTGGAACGAATCTATCGTACCTTTCTTCGAGCCAGCATCCGTGTGCTCTTTTTCTTCCTGTGCTGGTGGCAGCCCTGCATCGGCAGCTCCTAAGCCACTTGAAGGAATGACAGCCATGAGAAAGTTTATCGTTGAGAGGAGGGCCTGCGTGTGCAGCAGAAGGTTTAAGGAGGAGAAAGCCACCTGGGGAGGGGGGGGAGAGAAAAGAATTGCATTACATTAAGAGGAGGAGAAAAGATAAAAGTCATATATACTTGATCTTTCTCACAAATGTTTCAACAACACACAGCTTGGGGGGTGGGGGGGACTGGAGCCTCAGATTGCAGAAAGGAATCACTTCGGAGTATTTCTTTAAACCAGACAACTGGAAAAAGTTTCAAAAATACAGGCTTATATTTTCAGAGCAGGGCCACAAAGACTACTCCTGCTCCACAAGCACTGCCAGTGACGGAGACACCTGGAGTGGGAAAGTTCCCTGCATAAGGATAACAATTTAAGCAACACAGGGAACTAACTGAAAGCCTTCCTATAGTAGAAGAAGAAGAAAGAAGAAAGAAGGAGGAGGAGGAAGAGTGGAGAAGTGGAGTGCAAGTGGAGGAGTGGGGAATCAAACCCGGTTCTCCCAGATTAGAGTCCGCGCACTTAACCACGACACCAAACTGGCTCTCACTTGGTTTTCATAGCCCTGCACTTTCTCTCTCTCCCCTACCCTCATGAAACACGCCCACACCGAAACAGAGAAAGGCATCCAAGTAGACTCCAACAATGATTAATATTCAAGAGGGAGACGTTTTCATCCAGGTTCCCTGAAATGAACTGAGGTTATGTGAAGACTGACCCATGCAAGACCCAGAATTTGTTTCGGCATTTCACTTACCTGAACGGTTTGTTCGGTGTTGTCAAAATCCGTATGGAATTTTGGACCATGTTTATTGGCCTAGAGAAAGTATCGGGGGAGAAAGGGGTAAGAGACATCCCACATGGAACTGCACCCACATTCTGCACAGGCTCCGGGGCCGCGTTCTCTTTACGTTTCAGAACTGCCAACTGTTGTGGGTTATTTAAACTACTTACTTTGATGTATTCCACTTTTAAGAGATCTAATCCAGGTTTATCCGAAGAACTGATCAGATGGAGAGGCTGCCTTTTACCTGAAACGTAAAGTAATACGGAACTACATCTGGAAGCAATTTACAAATATTAGTACCTCCTGTCAACAGAAGCATGTACTGATCCCTTTCTGCAACTGCACACACTGCAGACTTATTAGAAAGATCAAGGTCATCCCTACGCTTTCCTCCGTAGAAGCACAAGTCGCAAGTGCCACTACCATTGGTCACGTCACTTTCACAAGAGAGACACTTTCTCTCTCGCCCTTCATCCAGCTACCTTGAATGTCATGGTAATCCAGGCTGATCTTCTTCAAATAGGACACGGCTTTCAAGTCGTAGGTCCTGACAGTCGCTTCTGTTCCGAGCTGCTTTACGTTAAACATAACTATGGTCTCCTCTCTCTGCAGTTGCTTGGTGAGTTCCAAAATCACCTAAACAGAATATCTAAAATCAAACCCTTCCCTTTCCGAACTCATTCTCGCTCTCTTATGCACACTCCTAATGTTGCCGCTTCAGGGGAGTCTAAGAGCTAGCATCCCTTAGATCCCCATGCGAGCCAGAGGGGGGAACCACAATTCAAATGACAGAGCACATGTTTGGCTTGTGAACAATCCCAGATTCAATCTGGGGCATCTCCAGTTTAAAAAGATGTCTGAAGAAGTGAGCCGTGACTCACAAAAGCTCCTCCCCTGCCGCATATTTTGTTAGTCTTTAAGGCGCTACTTTTTCACGGGTATGAGGCAGGCAGCTCCATATTCGAAGCAATGTTTAAGAGGCACAGGTGCGTATCTGGCCTAGGTTTATATGCCTGACAATAAACACTAACAAAGGGCAATCCTCGTTCCTGTACTAACGTGTCAGCAGTCCCCAGCATGGTGGCCGTGGGTGCCACAGCACCCGCCAACATGTTTCCTGGGACCCACCAAGTGTTTTTAGAAACTGGGTGAGGCCAGCTTCTAACTGGCTGGCCAGATTAGGATAACACTGTTTCAGTGGCTGCTGCCACCAACTGCACAAACAATCCACAAGAATAACACACAATCCCAAGACAGTCTGGTATGAAAAATTATACCGATGTGTGCTAGATGCCCACAGAACAACACAATACAAGCCAGCCGAGGTCATGCGTGTTGGAACTCTCCCGGCTCCAGCTCTGCAAGCGCCGCTGATGCCGTAAACAGCGAGACATTTTTGGGAACTCCCCCTGAAGCGTCTCTTGCTGCAGGAGAACAAGCCCTCCCACTTGCCTCCCTGATCTCGAACTTCAGCTGAAGGTCTGTGAGCTCCTCCTGAACGGTCTCCGCTTCGGTCTTTATTGCTCTTCGTTTAGCAGGACTCTTTTCCGGAGATTTGGAGCCCTCGGTGGCGTCGAAGTACTCCTCCTCAGATTCTGAAGGGCAGAAAGAAGCCTTTTTTAAACACACACACACACACACACACACAAAACACAACACAAAAACACCCCGGCTACAAAATATACTCTCCCCACAGCTTAATCTACTACATTCAAGCAACACATAATAAGCCTGGACATTTCTTTGTACCAAGTCAGTTCCCTTCTACAGATGCCTAAATACGTTCAGTGAAAGGCTTTCTACAGGCAAACCCAAGTGACAATAGATCAAGATGAGTAGCTGTGCCGGTCTGTCTGTAGCAGCAGGGAAGAGAGACAGAGTCCAGGAGCACCTTATAGACTAACAAAATCTGTGGCTTTCATGAGCCGCTGCTCACTTCTTCAGCATCTTGCTTTTTTCTAAAGTAAAAGGCTATTCAAGCCAAAAGCATTACCAACGGATACTGAAGATACCCTTGCAGAGCACTTTATTATATATATATATAGCACTTAACCACGACACCAAACTGGCTCTCTTAATTTATTAAAACATCTATTAAACTGTTATTATTAAAAAACAATAAAATTATTTATTAAAAACATTATTAAAACAGGTTCTCTTAAATTACTTATTAAAACATTTATATTCCGCCTTTCCTCATGGCGCACACAGAGACATGCGAATGAAAGAGAAAGCAGAAACCAATTGGCAGCTTGCTGACACCAAATCAACCTTTTTAAAGAGCTGCTCAACCCATCAGATCTCCAATGGCCAATCAGAAGCCTTGTTTACAAGACAAAAATATTTCCATTAAAACAAAAAAATAAACTGCACACCTCAAACTGCTCTCCCTCTCCCCCCTTAAGAGACGCCTGCCAGTTCACACCCCGTCGAAAGCCCTGGCTAACAGGCCGGCCCTGCGGCGCCTCTTGGAGATCTCCAGAGAGGGGGCTTCCCTCACCACTTCACAGAGCCCCTTAGACAGAGGCGGAACTACGATGGAAAAGTGGCGAGAGAGCCAACAGATGGCTGCTTGACAACTACAGCTGGTGCATACGGACATTCGGAAGGAAATGGTCCTTCATATGAACATCTGAGGCTGCCTTACAGTCAATCAGATCATCTAGCTCAGTGTCAACGATGCCTGACCGGTGTTCCTGCCAGGCCGAGTTAGTGTGAGCCGGCTCACAGATTTTTAGCCTCCGGCTCACACACCAGAGCAAACGAATTGATGCAGCCGCCAAATCGCTCGCTCGCAACTTGAATGCCAGGAGCTTACAACGTAGGATTTTTGCTCACAAGACTCCGCGGCTTAGAGGGAGCATTGGTCTCTAGCAGTGTTCCCTCTAAGCTGAGTTAGTGTGAGCCGGCTCACAGTTTTTTAGCCTCCGGCTCACACCTTTTTGTCTTCGCTCAGGAAGGACGGCTCCAGAGCAAACAAATTTATGCAGCAGCCAAATCGCTCACTCGCGACTTGAATGCCAGGAGCTCACAACATAGGATTTTTGCTCACAAGACTCCGCAGCTTAGAGGGAGCATCGCTCGTGACTGGCAGTGGCTCTACAAGGTCTCAGGCAGAAGAAGGCCTCCTCCATCCCTTGCTGCTCAAGCTCTTACACTGGGAGGTGCTGAGGGCGTGAACCTGAGGACCACCACTGGGGACTGCCAGTATGACAAAGCACACACTCCGCCACTGGGCCCCTGCCCCTCCCCTCAAAGGAAGGGTCATCCCTGTGACCCTCAAGATGTTTCTCCAACATTTTCAAGTCAAATAAAATGTATTAATACAGTCTGCGACCAGCACCAGATCAGTTACGGCGACGTACACGGGTCTTATACATTTTTAGGAAATACGCATTATTAAAAGTACTGAATGGCCTATGTGTTCTTAAAACCACAGAACAGACTGAACAGAACGTCTACGTTTTACGGTTCAGCTACATTCCGTGTTAATTCCCTGCGAATCCTGCACGACGCTGCAAGACATCTGGCACAGGGGAGTGTGAGCCAAGGGTCTGTGTCTGAAAGGAACGTCCTCATAATTTCAGTTTCTGAGCAGGCGGAATCTCCTCCCAAGCAAGGGTGCAATAATCTTCAAACAGATTTCCTGGTAGAAAACGGCAGTGAAGCGAAACATGCTCGTTTGTCTCGACCTTCCTTGCTCCACAGGAGCAAACCCTCTCTGCTAATGGGATCTTTCTGTAACGGCCGTTGTCCACTACTGCAGAGGGGAGTATATTCCATCTAGCCATAGAGTCAGCCCTGCGGTGGGATGGGATCTCTAACAGCGATAAGTAAGCTGCCGGAATTACAAGGTATCTAGTGCTCTTTGACTCCAGGAAATCTGCAACTCTGTTGATGTCTCCCTGCCTTTCGGTGTCTGATATCCTTTGCTTGACCAGAGCCTCTGCTTAATCTAAGGCCATTTTAAAGAGAAACTCTGGGGTCTCCCAATGTTTTTCTTTAGCTGATATTGCTCCTTGAAAATAAAAAAAAATCGGTTCAGGGTATTAAATCGTTTGTTAACTTTAATGCAAGAATCCACTGACGTATCACCAGGGCTATTTTTGGGCAGGAACGCACAGGAACGGAGTTCCGGCTGGCTCCCAAGTTGGCCACGCCCAGCAGGAACTCATTAGCATAATAGGCCACACCCAACAGCAGAAACTCATTCGGATTGGCTACATTAGGGGTGTGTGGCCTAACATGCAAAGGAGTTCCTGCTACAAAAAAAGCCCTGGGTTTTGACAGCAAACAAGGTAGACAGAATAAGAAGCAAAAGGTGGGTGTGGCTGGATGACCACACTTCTGGTAACATGGGGGTGCGGCCTAATGTGCCAATGAGCTGTGCTGTCAGGGGTGTGGCCTAATAGGCGAATGAGTTTCTGCTGTTGGGTGTGGCCTATTATGCTAATGAGTTCCTGCTGGGCTTTTTCTACAAAAAAAGCCCTGCGTATCACCACAACTTGTGTGGCCTAGATGTCGGCATCAGTGGCTGGGTAAGATAATACTAGGAGACTCTGAGCCTGCTATTTATAAGCCATCGCTTTATCCTCGAGAGCCTCTGAAACTTCACATCCTACAGACAATCCACATCGCCTTGCTGATGGTGACAAAACCCAATTCATTTCAACAGTCATTTATGTCACACTATGTTACCGAGACAGCTTGATACCCTCCACCACTGGCTTGACCACCTTTTGTAAACAATAAAGAGCTTTGTTGCCATAAAGACCACTCACGATTGCCTCAGATTAGCACATTCACATCCTGGCTCTAAATACCTGCTCAAGGCAATCGCCTCCCCCCCCCCCACTAATGCGCCTCTGATTTCCTGTTTACCTGATTCTACCCCTTCCAACAACAGCGATGTGCCAAGAAAGCCATTTCTTTTATCAGCGATGGCAGGGATGGCAGGGGCCTGCAGGAAGGTGAGAGATAAAAGGTAGCGAACAACGGTGTGAGTTGTAATTCTTTGCTTACATTTCCATACATTCCTCTACATTCTGCGACAATGTCTGCAGCCGCCATGTCTACAAGCGGCACCAGGTGTGTCTCGTCACCAACTCTGAGTGAACACATCATGGACTTCAGCAACAGTGATATCCTCAACTTGAACTGGCTTTCCAATCTCTCTCCCTTATCCTATTGCTTGGTCACTATTACATATTTACTTTTGTACTTGGAGCTGAAACGGCCGCCTTCTGCGGAAGGGGAATGCTGTCAATGAGTTCAAACACGCCCTTGATCTTCTGGTCAGAAATTCTCAGGTGAACCAAAGGAAGCTCTCCCGATACTTTGAACCTAAGAATAAAAAAAAGGAGAGTGCGAAAAGGCATTAGTGATTACAATACAAAATAGGCTGTCTGGAAACTCAACTGGTACTGAAGTGTACGGTATGAGAGAAGCTGCTGAAAATGTGAACTATTCATTCTGAAACTCACTTACTGTAATAGAACCTCACATTCTTGCACCTAGGTAAAGGTAAAGGTTTCCCTTGCTCAAAAGCCAGTCAAATCCAAGTCTAGGGGGGCGGTGGTCATCTCCGTTTCCAAGTCGAAGAGCCAGCACTGTCCGAAGACATTTCCGTGGTCATGTGGCCAGCATGACTAAATGCTGAGGCGCACGGAACGCTGTTACCTTCCCACCAAAGCGGTTCCTATGTATCTACTTGCAATTTCTTGCTTTCAAAGTGCTAGGTTGGCAGCGGCACGCGGCACTCGGGTCTCAAACTGCCGAACTACCGACCTTCTGGTCTGCAGCTCAGTGTCTTAACCTCTGAGCCACTGCAGATCCATTCTTGCACCTAGGTGCATACTAAATATGGGCATAATCAGAAGCATGGCTCCTGACAATACAGGAGGGCACTGACATGTGGCTGGATATCAGAGAAGAGTACTGTTGTCTCCCTTGCCGTGGAACAGCCAGAGCCCGAGGACCTCAAGAAGGCATCCGTGCGGCTACTGTTCTAAGGAATGTGTAAAACAGAATGGTTCAGGGCCGTGCTTTTATAAACGGAATAGGGTTGTAGAATTGCATTTATAAAGGGAACAGGACTGCAGTATATTGCACTGCGCATGGTATCTTGTCTGTGTAGAACTGTTTTCTAACTTTTGAAATCCACCGGTTACATTTATTTATTTAAAATATTTTTATGCCACCTTTCCACCTGATCAGGCACACGTAAAAACACTTGAACAATTAAAAACGGCACTTAAAATTATAAAATAATTCAATAAAACCACATAAACACCACCACCAGAACCAGGGAAGAAGAAGAGGAGATTGGATTTCTACCCCACCCTTCACTACCCGAAGGAGTCTCAGAGCAGCTTACAATCTCCTTTCCCCTCCCCTTCCCACAACAGACACCCTGTGGGCTGAGAAAGCTCCCTCTAGAACTGCCCTTGAGAGAACTTGTGACTGACCCAAGGTCACGTCAGCAGCTGCAAGTGGAGGAGGAGTGGGGAATCAAACCCGGTTCTCCCGGATTAGAGTCTGCGCTCCTAATCACTACACCAAACTGGCTCTCACACCACCAAACTGGCTCTCAATAACCATTAATGGGGTAAGCCAAATGCAGCAAAAAAAGTTTTCACCTGCAGGCAGAAGACCGATCGATCGGGGGAGACGGGCGAATCTATCCAGGGAGGGAGTGCCAAAGTTTTGGTGCCGTGCTCATGTCTTACACAGTTTTTCACTATTGTCTTGTTTTCTAATTTTGTAATACGCCTTGGGAGTGAGAAAGGGGGACTACTGAATAAAGAAATATTGCCACTTGAGCTGTGATACGTTACTTTGCCATCCTGATATCCTTCTCCACCATCGCCTTGGCAAGCTGTATGCGCATGTCCATGGGCTGCAGCACGTGCAGGGTGGACGGATGCTCAAACCGAGCCTTCTTCCAGTCTTCTCCTGGAGCACAATTAAGAATGCACAGGTTTCACCGCAACGGCGCAACGGCAGAAATGTGACCCTTGTGTATGCAGGGACACACACTGCATGAATTAATCCAGAGGTACTATGGGGGAATCGGGAACCGGAACGTGTGTAGCTGACCAGCGGCAAAAAATGGAATTTCCGTTCCACAAACACTCGAAGGGCTACCAAGCACCAAGGCTCAAACTTAATGCTGCACCACAGCCAGCTAATGGAGCCTTTAGCAGTTCTCCTTAACCGGGTGGTGGTGAATGCTGTAAAATCACCGTTGACTTATGGTGACCCTGTAGGGCAGGGGTGTCGAACTCATTTGTTATGGAGGGCAGGATATGACATAAATGAGACCTTGTCGGGCCGGGCCATGTGTGTCATAAAATGTAATGCCGGGCAGCGGAGATATAAACTTTATAAAGGACACAAACACAAAGATTCTCCCCCCCCCTTAAAATAAAAACATGCCGTAAACATTAGCACTCTTGCAATATTTTGCTTATTTAACAGTCTCTGATAACTGACACTTCTTGCTCTGAATTATTTCGTCAAAATGTCTGTGCTGTAGCAGTCAGGGAGGGGGAGGAGCCTCAGCCCGGTGCAGGGAGCAGAAGCTTGCCTATCTATCTCTCCTGAGCGATTGAGAGAGTCTGGGAAAGCAAGCGATGATGCAGCAGCAGCAGCAGAACTGGAGGAAGAAGCAGGAGACAGCCAGTTCCACTGTGGGCCTGATAGAAGCTCTCGGGGGGGGAGGGGGGGCTCATGTTTGACACCCCCTGCTCTAGGGTTTTAAAGACAAGAGACGTTCAGCGGCGGTTTGCCATGGCTCACTTCTGGCTTCTAACCCTAACCCACCCAAATGCTCATCAGGGCCGACCCCGCATAGCTTCCGAGGTCTGATGAGATCAGGCTAGCCTGGGCCGCCCAGGTTGAGGCGGAGACAAACGGAGGTGGGTTTGCCATCGCCTCCCTCTGGGGCCGTGGACTTCCTCAGCAGTCTCCCAACCAAATGCTGGCGGATACTGATTTTGGCATCACACTGCCTGCGGCAAAATGTTTGGCCTGCAGTGGCTCCAATGTGAGGGTGGAATCAGAGGGCGGTATTAACGCGATTTCTCTTGACCTGGATAGCCCAGGCTAGTTCAACCTCCTCAGGTCTTGGAAGCGAAGCAGGCTCGGCCCTGGTTGGTACTTGGATGGAAGACCACTAAGGAGGCCCAGGGCTGCTACGGAGAGCCAGGCAATGGCGAACTACCTCTGGACGTCTCTTGCCTTGACCTGGATAGCCCAGGCTAGCCCGATCTTGATGAATCTCGGAAGCTAAGCAGGGTCAGCCCCGATTCGTATGTGGATGGGAGACCACCAAGGAAGCCCAGGGTTGCTACGCAGAGGCAGGCCATGGCAAAACCACCTCTGTTAGTCTCCTGCCTGGAAAACTCCTCTGGGATCTCCCTAAATCAGCTGCAACTTGACGGCACGCTTCCCACTGCCGACCCTGGTGTGACCTATGTTCACCGAGATGGTTGGGTATTGGATGTTACAAGTCAAAACACTTCAGTATTTACAGGGTTAATGATGTTTGTAAAGTCACATGTTTGTTTGTTTGTAACCAATCTGTTTAGACAATAGAGTGCCCGGGAACTTTGGAGCTAATGTGCTAGTCTGATTGGAAACCAAGGTGTCAAGTATTTAGCATAGGAAGAAATGGTTCCCATTACTGCTGAGAACACACCGGTCACTTCGGTTCCCACGGATCCACCTTTCAGCGTTAACAAGTTAAATCGGCAGCGCTTCTCAGTTAAGACAAAACAAATAAACAAAGACTGCTTCCCCCCCCCTCAGTTAACGTAATACAATTACAAGAAGACCGGAACCATAATCTGAACACAGTCTATCGCCACGTTTCAACAAATACAGTTCCAAGGAAATTTGAGCCATTTGCTTAAATGAAGGATGTCTTCTTTTGTACTCTAAAATGTCATATGTTAGTAGGTCAATTTTTACGCTGTCCTGATTCAGATGCAACAAAGACAGACCAGTGTGGTGTCATGGTTAGTGTTGGATTAGGGCCTGGGATGACCAGGCTATGGAAGCTCATTGGGTGACGTCAGACTTGGCACAATCCTTCCGCCTCACCTTAGCATCACAGAATCACACAGAGTCGGGAGGGGCCACACTGAGGCCATCCAGTCCAACCCCCTGGTTCAAGTTAACGTAATACAATTACAAGACGACCGGAACCATAATCTGAACACAGTCCATCACCACGATTCAACAAATACAGTTCAAAGGAAATCTGAGCCATTTGCTTAAATGAAGGATGTCTTCTTTTGTACTCTAAAATGTCATATGTTAGTAGGTTAATTTTTACGCTGTCCTGATTCAGATGCAACAAAGACAGACCAGTGTGGTGTCATGGTTAGTGTTGGATTAGGGCCTGGGATGACCAGGCTATGGAAGCTCATTGGGTGACGTCAGACTTGGCACAATCCTTCCGCCTCACCTTAGCATCACAGAATCACACAGAGTCGGGAGGGGCCACACTGAGGCCATCCAGTCCAACCCCCTGGTTCAATGCAGGATCAGCCCAGAGCATCCCTGACTAGTGTTTGTCCAGCCGCTGCTCACCATCTCCCCAGGCAGCCGATTCCACTGTGGCACAACCCTTACCAGTGTTCCCTCTAAGATCAGTTAGTGTGAGCTAGCTCACAGTTTTTTAGCCTCTGGCTCACACATTTTTGTCTGAGCTCAGGGAGGATGGGGCTCCAGAGCAAACTAATTGATGCCGTAGCCAAATCGCTTCCTCACAACTTTAATGCCAGCAGCTCACAAAGTAGAATTTTTGCTCACAAGACTCCACAGCTTAGAGGGAACATTGACCCTTACTGTCAAAAAGTGTTTCCTAAGATCCAACCGGTACCTTCCCACCCTTAAGTTAAACCCATTCTTGCGAGTCCTCTCCTCTGCTGCCCACGGAAACACCTCCCTGCCCTCCTCTAAGGGACAGCCCTTCAGTTACTTCAAGAGAGCCGTCATGTCCCCCCTCAACCTCCTCTTCTCCAGACTGAACATTCCCAAGAAGTCCCTCAGCCTCTCCTCATAGGGCTCCTTGGTCTCCAGGCCCCCGGTCATCCTCGTCGCCCTCCTCTGCACCTGCTCCATCCCGCCCACATCCTTTTGGAAGTGAGGCCTCCAGAACGGCACACAAGACTCCAGGTGAGGCCTGGCCTGCAGTGTACAGCAACCTTCCTCACAAGGCCGCTGTTGTGAAGAGAAGGTGGAGGAAGGGAGAAAACTGCCATAAGCCACTTTGGGCTAAACCACAAGTGAGCACAGTGGGATATATACGTGGAAATAAATCATGCACCTTTTCCGCTGTCAATGGTGGGCTTGTTGCTTTATGACTGATGCTTTGGGGGGCAGGGGCTCCTTAGGTTCACCAGGAGGCCACAGGAGAACGGAGCCGTGACTCTCGAAAGTTTATCCCCAAAAAACCTTGTTGGTGTCTGGGGTGCTCCTGGACTCGAATCTAGCAGGCCACAGTGACCATTCAGCTACACCCTAAAGGACAATGGTCCTCCCCTTTAAGAACGCTGTTACATTTGGATTGGTAGAAATCTAACAATTCGAGAGAGAGAGAGAGAGAGAGAAAAGGGGGGGGGGAATACCTGAAAAGAACCAAAGTCCAGAATAAGAAAATCTGACTTTTCGTGGTGGAAGCCCGTCTGCGGAACCAGAAGGTAAGAAGGTTTAAGGTTAACCCTCAGGTCGAGAACTTTTCGAGTTTCAATGATGTGCGTAAGCCCTAGAACAGAGGACGAGACACAGTTCAGTTCAGTTTATCGTGAAGGTCCTTCGCCCAGCAATGAGGAAGAGAGACAAGAGATTAGCAGGCTTTCCTTCTGCCCATCCTATCTGCACACTAGAGTGGTGCTATGTGGGCATGCACCAGTCCTATGATTGCCTAGCCAGTCTAAAGAGAACGTTCTGTGGGTGGCACAGGGAAGCCACAGATACAGGCTTTTGGCCAAGATTTTTTTTTGTTCAGGGGGCATTTAAATGTTTAAGGGGGCAGTTAAATTACAGTGAATTAAATGGTGGAGGCTTCGAGCCTGCTTCCTTTTTAGCCCTTCCTTTTAAGGGACAGGGTAGCAAGTGCATCAGTTCCTTGGGGGGGGACAGCTCAGAAAACATTTACTTGCCTTCAGAAGACATTTAAATGCCTTTTGAGTTCCCTTCCACAGGGCAAGGAAGCTTCGAAGGGCACTCAGGAGTGGCACCTTCAATATGCCTCCAACAATCCCTGTTTCTGCTAGCCCAGGACTCCTGCTGCAGACCGCCAAGGTCATGGTGAGTCTTTCAAAAGCATCCCCATGGAAAACATGCAAAAATAAGATTTCTGGCATGGCTATTTGTGGGGCTGTGCTTTTAATCAAGGGGGCGGCACCCCAAAATGCCCCGCGGTCGCTATGGGCCTGAACAGATACCCCTCTGCGCACACAGCAACCAGTTGAAGAAAAAACTCGTCTCCGACTGAGTTCTCCAGCACACACGGGCTAAAGGGTCAGGAGAAGGAAGGTGACTCTGGATGCAAGCAACAGCAGGATGTAAGAGCAGCCCCCTGCTGGACCAGGCCAATGGTCCATCTAATCCAGGATCCTGTTTCACACGGTAGCCAACCAGGAATATTGGGATATTTGTGGGGCGGTGCTTTTAATCAAGGGGGCGGCACCCCAAAATGCCCCGCGGTCGCTATGGGCCTGAACAGATACCCCTCTGCGCACACAGCAACCAGTTGAAGAAAAAACTCGTCTCCGACTGAGTTCTCCAGCACACACGGGCTAAAGGGTCAGGAGAAGGAAGGTGACTCTGGATGCAAGCAACAGCAGGATGTAAGAGCAGCCTCCTGCTGGACCAGGCCAATAGTCCATCTAATCCAGGATCCTGTTTCAACCGAGGTATGTTATGCTGTGTAACAGCCTGTATATTCTCTGTATATAGTCACCATTATTGCACTATAAACTTTCTGCCTTTCACCACCAGTCGGTCTCCAGGCTTCTTATTTACTGCACCCAATAGGGAATGCCTGCAAGCAGGGCACGGAGGCGAACGTTTCCCCCTGTCGCTACCCAGAACTGACTTTCAAAAGCAGCTCCGTGTGAAAATTCCAGTTTGGCTGACATAGGAATCGTGGGTAATACCAAGCCTTGTACAGGAAGCTTTTGCTTTGGTTTCCATAAATGCTCATCTCACCCTGGCATAAATTTCTGAAAGGTTTCCTGAACCCCTCCTATGCACCAGAAGGGAGTACAATGGACCGGGGAAGTCCCCGTATACGGAAAGCGTTACGCAGTGTGAAATGTGACATCTTATCCCCTGACCTGGAAGGCCCAGGCTAGCCCGATCTCCTCGAATCTTCGAAGCGAAGCAGGGTCGGCCCTGGTTAATACTCGGATGGGAGACCCACCAAGGAAGCCCAGGGCTGCTATGCAGAGGCAGGCCAAGGGCAAAGCACCTCTGGAGGTCTCCTGCTCTGAAAACCCTACAGGACCGCTATAAATAGGCTGCAACTTGCCGGCACTTTCCACAAACACATTTCAAAAGCAACCCATTGCTTGAAAATGGCGGAAACCCAAGCTACAGCGGCTCTTTTTGTAAAAAAAGCCCAACAGGAACTAATTAGCATGATAGGCCACACCCCTGACAGCACAGCTCATTAGCCCATTAGGCCGCACCCCCATGTTACCAGAAGTGTGGTCATCCAGCCACACCCACCTTTTGCTTCTTATTCTGTTTACCTTGTTTGTTGTCAAAACCCAGGGCTTTTTCGTAGCAGGAACTCCTTTGCATGTTAGGCCACACACCCCTAATGTAGCCAGTCCAAATGAGTTTCTGCTGTTGGGTGTGGCCTATTATGCTAATGAGTTTCTGCTGGGCGTGGCCAACTTGGGAGCCAGCCGGAACTCCGTTCCTGTGCGTTCCTGCCCCAAAATAGCCCTGGATGTACCTGTAGCCGTCTTCTCTTTAATTTCCTCCAGCTTCGATAGCGTGGCTGTGGTCAGGCGTTCCAGATCCATGCCTCTGCTTGTCTGGAAGAATTCGACCATTGCGTTGATTGTTCTCTGGAAAAAGAAGGAGGATTTGTTGGCATTTATGGGATGCCAGTGAACTCAAGCAAGGAGAGGAAGGAACGACGACGCGCCATTTGTTACTGAACACGACTCACCGCGTCATATATTATTTCCACAGGCTGCGACTCCACTACAACACTCTGGTCAGCTGCGCTGTCTTCTGGGTTTGTTTCGAACTCTATTCTGAGCAGAGACGATCCGGCATCCCCAATCGAAGCAACGAGAGAAGGCACCACTTTCTGCTGCCTCAGGCCTGTCACGTACCAGTGTTCCAACTTCGCTTCTACCCTATCGAGTTGAAAACAAGACTTTAAAAATGCAGATTCACACCATTCGGTTGCATTCACAGCACAAGGTATAACAGCAGAGACCCAACCTGACTTTGTCAAAGTAGAGGGGAAAGGGAAAAACGACGAGGCCACCCTTCCCAGTGACCAAAGAAAGGAGAGAGGGGACTTAGGTCCACCTGAGAAATAAAGCAAAACTTCATTTATAGGCACGTAATGCGAGCAGTTAGAGTCCTGTGGAAGCATAGTCCCCGTGTTTTTATTCTAACAGAATCAAGCTCAGGGAAAGCGGATATTGTCTGGCTAGAGCAGAACTAGACAAGGCACAGCACTGAGTGGCTGGAAGCCGTGGCTTAACTAAGGGGCCTCTCCTTCATTTCCCCCCTGAGCAGTTTCTCGATATTGTTAAAGATCACTGTTTTGTTCTTTTTTAAAAGAGGTCATTAAAAAAAATTGTACAAGCAAAGCTTAAAGAGAGAGCAAAACAGCCAGTCTCCTGAAGCACAGTGTGAGGGGGCTCTTTAGCTTTGAGAAACAACGACTGAGGAGAGACATGATCGAGGTTTACAAGATTACGCGTGGGATAGAGCAGGTAGGGAAAGAAGTCCTTTTCACCCTTTCTCACAATGCAAGAACTCGTGGGCACTCCATGAAATGGCTGAGCGGTCGGGTTAGAACGGATAAAAGGAAGTCCTTCTTCACCCAGAGAGTGATTAACACATGGAATTCACTGCCACAGGAGGTGGTGGCAGCTACAAGCATGGACGGCTTCAAAAGGGAATTAGATAAGCATATGGAGCAGAGGTCCATCAGTGGCTATTAGCCACAAGGTATAGCTAGGGGCTCTGGGGCAAGTGATGCTCTGTCTTCTTGGTGCTTGGGGGGGGGGTCAACAGTGGGAGGGCTTCTAATGTCCTGGCCCCACTGCTGGACCTCCTGATGGTACTGGTATTTCTGGCCACTGTGTGACACAGAGTGTTGGACTGGATAGGCTGTTGGTCTGGTCCAACATGGCTCCTCTCTTATGTTCCTATGAGACCAATGACTGAATTTGCACTTGGACATTCTTTTATTGAGTCAATTCATCTCATGGTGGGTCTTCCCAGTCCCCAGGAATCTCCTGTTGAAAGAGCCAGGTAGGAGGTGATGTGAAAGACGTCCACTCAAGACCTAGGAGAGCTGCTCCCAGTCTGAGTAGACAATACTGATTTGATGGGACCCGGGGTCTGATGCAGTATGAGGCAGCTTCCTGCATTCATGCATGAGAGGGGAGGGGCCGTGGCTCAGTGGCAGAGCCTTTGCTTCACATGCAGAAGGTCCCAGGTTCAATCCCCAGCATTACCAGTTAAATGCTGGGGTAGTACTGGATGTAAACGGCCCTGGAGAACCACTGCCAGTCTGAGTAGACAATAGTAAAGGTAAAGGTTTCCCTTATTCAAAAGCCAGTCGAATCTGACTCTAGGGGGTGGTGCTCATCTCTGTTTCCAAGCCGAAGAGCCGGCACTGTCTGAAGACATTTCTGTGGTCATGTGGACGGCATGCAGAACACTGTTACCTTCCCACCGGAGCAGTACCTATTTATCTACTTGAAATTTCTTGCTTTCGAACTGCTAGTTTGGCAGGAGCTGCGGCCAGAGACGGGAGCTCACTCCATCACGCGGCACTCGGGTCTCGAACTGCCAAACTACACACCTTCCGGTCTGCAGCTCAGCCTCTTAATACTGACTGTGACGGACCAAGGGTCTGAGTCAATATAAGGCTGCTTTAAATGTTCATGTGCCTCTTTTTCACAACTAATAGTTTTAAAAGGTCGTGGGCATTTCAAAGTTGTCCTGGCTCTTGTAAGGCACTGTCCAATTATTCCTCTATTCTTTTTAAATTTTATTTTTGAAGGAACACATCACCTAGCGGATGTCCCCACATACCCCCCCCCCCAAAACCAGAAATCAATATTACATGAAGCACTTACTTAAGGGCTTGTGCTCCTGGCCTCTGTGATATTTTAGTGCTTAAATCAATAATCTGGATCTTAAGAGTGTCTGGAGTATTTCTGTCTTCTTTAATCGTGAAGGAAGTACTTAACAGCTTCAGAGACATCACACGGGCAACATACTAGACAGGAAACAAAAAGAAGAAGTCACCCCCACATTCTGCTGTGGACAATATTCAGTAAGGGCTGGTTAACACAGCATATGCCTAGCAATGTATCATATTAAAGGAACCACTGGTCAGGAAAGGATGCAAATAAAGGGGTTCTTCAGGTAGAGCGGTCTGTTATTACTACGGCCCTATCCTGGTATTTGTGCAGTTGGAGTGACGAGGCTGAAACTGCGATGACTTCCTCCCCACCCATTGCCATGGTAACCCAGACTTCACAGTTGCTTAAAGGGTCTCTGTGTGCAGTGCCCTAAACTCCTTAGCCAGCACTCTGTGGTGGGCACAGAACAAGATCAAGGGGTACCAATCTCCCGCAAGACAGCCAGCACGGTGAAGTGGTTAAGAGCGGTGGGCTCTAATCTGGAGAGCCGGATTTGATTCCCCACTTTTCCACATGAAGCCTGCTGAGTGACCTTGGGCCAGTCCCAGTTCTCTCAGAACTCTCTCAGCCCCACC